CACACACACACAGAGACACAGACAGAGACACAGACAGAGACAGAGACACAGACACAGACACAGACACAGACACAGACACAGACACAGACACAGACACAGACACAGACACAGACACAGACACAGAGACACAGAGACACAGAGACACAGAGACACAGAGACACAGAGACACAGAGACACAGACAGACACAGACAGACACAGACAGACACAGACAGACGCAGACAGACACAGACAGACACAGACAGACGCAGACAGACACAGACAGACACAGACAGACACAGACAGACACAGAGACACACAGACACAGAGACACAGACACCAAGGCAGGTTTGTCCACACACATTGTGGTTGCCAAAGCACTTTTGTCCACACACGTTGTGGTTAGCAAAGACAGCCAGTCTTGTCTACATACATCATTGTCGTTAACGCTAAAGCACACCGTGTCCACAAAGTTCTCGCGCTTGTGTGCGCATAGTTCGTGAAAGCTGTGTGCCGTGCGCAGCACCTGTCGACATCAACTGTGGATAGCTCACGGACATGGCGTGGACATCGTGTGGAGAACCAGCGGACACGGTGTGGATAACTTGCGGACATGGTCTGGGAATCTGGCGGACACAGTGTGGACCACTTGCGGATGCGGTGTGGAAATCTCGCGGACAACTTGCAGACAAGGTGTGGAAAAAGTGCGGACACGGAGCGGACAACTTGCGGACATGGTGTGGAAAAACACGGACACTGTGCTGGGGGGTCTGAGGGGGGCGGAGTGGCTGGGCATGCATTGGGCTTGAATTAACTAACTGAAAATACTGCTAAATTTTTTATTGACAGGAGGCACTGGACGTAGGGGGGAAGGGAGTGAAAAGTCGGCGCTGGGGGGTCTGAAGGGTTCGGAGGGGTTGGGCATGCATTGGGTTTCAACTAGATAGTTAAATTGCTATCAAATTATAATTATGACATTGGCAAGAGGCACTGGGTTCAGGGGGAGGGGAGGGAAAAGTGGGCACTGGGGGTCTGAGGGGTTGGAGGGGTTGGGCATGCATTGGGCTTCAATTAAATAACTACATTCCTGCTAAATTAATACAATGACAGGAGGCGCTGGATGCGATGTTCGAATACATGTTATTCTTTTAGCTTAAACATGTTTTATCATGCGATGTTATGTTGTATCAAGTTTTGTAATGTTTTCGCCGACAGTCTTACTCGACCAAACATCTTCTGAACAATGTGTAAACACGAATACAACATAGAAATATTGCTGCTGGCCGCTCGTTTAACCCTTTAAAACTGTATGATGAATCAATGATGAATGATTGTCGCAGTGTGGTATCATGCTAACAGCTTGCAATTATCGGAGAGTTTTCCGTTGGGTTAATAGAGAATTAGTACTACTTACGATTCAATATTTGCACAATAGCTACTCATGCTTCAGCATTCCAGTTTTGTGTGTGACTACTACTTGTTAAAATCTTCGCCTGATACTTCATTACTGCTTGGTACTGAGTTATGTGAGTATAAGACCTTTTAACAGATGACCCAAAAAATGAACTGGTGTTTCCGTGCTGTTTCGCGCAATGTGTAGGCCAGCCTCCTAGATCTTCGGTTGCGGGTCTCCAGAAAACCCAGAAATCCCACCTGATGCTTGGCACAGCTAGCACGAAGCGTTGCTTTGAACCATACCATATATAGTCTGTCCGTCTTTTTCTCTTTGCACATGAAAACCATAGCCTTCATTCCGTCAAATCTCCCGTTTACGCTTCGGAAAGCTTGTATGCAATGCACATAAACGTACTGGCTATGTAATACAGTTGCACAAATTGTTGAAATTTGTGAAGATCTCGCCGCGAGCTTTATCTGGACCCTTCCACAGTTTCCAAAGCAAGTAACCTACAAAAACACGCGGAATTCCGAAATTCCCAAAATCGTCGACAAATTCCCAAGCTTGCAAAACTTCGCAAATTTCCTTGTCTGTTGGATCTTTCGTGTCATTCACACTTCGGCTGTCAACGATTGCATCTCCGTGACGAAGCAGCCTTTGCAGACACGATCGTTTTTCTTCCGTTTGGGCTCAGGTACCCTAAACAACTGCTCTGCAGGCGCGAAGATGCGGGCAGTCGGTCTGCGAGGCCGTCCTCCCTGATTACACATGCTTTGTTCCGGCAGGATCTACCGGCATGCTGTGTGGCGAGTGCCCGGATGGTTGGGCCAGAGATGACTATCCTGAACTGTGCTCCCGATGCCCTGATGATCCTGTCAGTGCCGTGACGGCAGCGCCCTTACAACACAAGCGGCAGATTGTAGTGGCCACAGCGCTCAGGGGGACATTAGTTAGAACAAGTTCATGTTACAGTAGTCCGCCTTTGTCAGCGTGCAGACACCTCTTGGCTCACAGAATGTCCAACTCAGATGGGAGTTCTCAACGACGTCTTCACCAAGACGGTCCTGAACTTCGCAGTAGCGGTGATGGCGGCAACGGCGGCTGTCAAGGGAGGAACCAAGCTGCACACGAGCATGATCCGTGCCTGGGCGCAAGGTTTGTTATGCGAGATGCTTTCGTACTCGTTGACTCGCTGTCCACGGCAGCTGCGAGGTGTTGGGACCCAGTGGCTGGCAGCATGTGTCTTGTCCGTATATGCTCGCAAGACAGGCAAGGTGCTGCACTTCTTGAGGCTTTCCAGTTTTGCCCGGCTTTGCGCGTGCTCTTGGCTCTGCCGAACGGTGTGTGTCATCTTAAGCTTCTATCGATCTAAGGCTCTGTGCTGACGCAGTTCGACCTTGGATCAGTTGGTGGGTTTGGCTGGTCCGAGAAGCAGAAGGAGCTGGAGCAGCTGCAAGAGTGTGCAGCGGCGAACATCACGGTTGCAGACTGTGAACTCGGCTCACAGGCACTGGACTTGAGTGTGGCACATTCCCTGGTACATGTTTCCATTCAGCGCTGTTCTTCCGCGCAGGGCCTGGAGTTTCCCTGGCCGGAAGAAGTGACGCAAGCAATGGACGGTGTTTTCGAGCTCATGAAGATTATGTGTCGATCTCAGCCAGGTGCAGTGCTTGCAGAAACCTGGCTGTAGCATCAGAAATCGGATAGTTCAGAGTTCAGGGCCGACGGATCGCATTGAGGCCAAAGGTGGCAACTGTGGCAATGTCAGCGGAATGCCATGCCGAACAGCTGCTTCCTGGAAACAAAATTGCGCACCTGGGGATGATTTTCAGCACCATCGTTGAACGTAGTTGTGCCCACGTAAACAGGTACACGCACACAGGTTGCAAAGTGGTGCAGCTACGAGTAAGTACGTAACTAGCTCACTTGCTCTCTCTCTCTCTCTCTATGTATATGGAGACTTATGCTTCGTGATACGACATGGAGAGAGAGAGAGAGAGAGAGAGAGAGAGAGAGAGGGGCTACCATATGCAATATACCATCACCCAAAGACTCACTTGGGTTGACTAGATGAAGGTATGCTAAGTATGTTGAGTTATCTCTAGGTACGTGGGATGTATAACCCCAGAAGCCCCGAAAACCGGGGGGCCCTAGCGGCCGGGGGGCTTAAGACCCTTCCCTATGCCCTGTGGAAGAAGAAGAGGCTACTATTTTGGCTCAAGTGCTGCACCTTGGCTTGGACACCTGTGCCGCCTCCTTGCATCGGCGAGGTTGCCCTGGAGCTGTCCGCGCCGGGGCAGCCTTCGCACTTTCTCCAGTGTCGACGCCGTTTGCTCAAGAGGCCGCATCTCTGCAGAACCTGACCGCGGCCCTTGACCGAAGACCTCGACCTCACCGCCGATGGCGAGCTCAAGTTTGCCGCTACGCAGGGGGAACCTGCGCACTCGGATTTCGGAAGACCCACGAACGCGATGACCCTCAGTGCCGTTTACATGGAGAGACAGGGAAGGCCACGGTCAACTACAAGCGCACGAGAGAAGAGCGCTCTCCTGAACAGGGGAAGCCCAGTCAGCCACCGTCAAGGCCAAGACGCGCACGCTTCCGATGCAAAAGGGGGAGACATTGCTGGGATGGACCGGCAATGCGAGCCAGGCTTCGGGAGCTCAGTGTCAGAGTAACCCGGGACCATCGCCCCATGAGCTGGTCGCCACGACGGGGGACACGATGAGGGTCTTGAGAGATGCCATACAGATGTGCAGGAAGAGTCGAGCAGCTACAACGAGAACATGAAGAACCACTGAGGGGCAAACAGCAGAACCAGAAAGCAGTGGTGGCACTTCGCTACTTTCGGGCCTATCCATGGCCTCAACCCAGGTAAGTTGATTGACAAGGTCGCGGAAGATTCAAATTCACCGTGGGTGGAAAAGATATATGATGCCGGGCTACCATTCCCCCCCCCCCCCCCCCCCC